TTGAAAGAGACCTTGGAGGTCTTCTAATCCAATGTTTTGTAAATTGAATAGATTTGTTCCACAGTTCTTCCCATTGTTTTGTTTTGTGATTGTATCACTGAAGAGAAGCCAACCTCGCAATCAAGAAATCAAAAACTGGGGGAATTGTTTGAAAAGTGGCATCTCCACAAAAGTTTTCTGAGCAGATCATCAAAATGGCTTAGCAGCTGCCCTTTGGACTAAATGGCTTCCGATCACAGGATGGCTTCCAATTTACAGGAAGTAAAAGATGTTGTTCCAACCAGGCAATGTTTACATCCTTATTTGAATTTGGTGCCTTTGCAACCTCACAATGTTCTTTGCATAAGTGCCTGATGATGTACATCTAGTCACTCTTTGCTTTTCGGCTGACAGCCTGGGCCTCCTCTCCTTCCCTTTTGATTCAATCATTTCTCATATTCTCTCTCATTCCTCATATGAATGCATATAGGCTGAAATAAAAGAGAGAAAAAAGAATGACATTTTCATAGGTGTGTGCTACAGGCTATTCAAGCAGAAGAAATAAATGAGCTTTTTGCCAATCATTTAACTAATGTGCTCAGGAAACAAACCACCATAGTAATGGGGGACTTTAGCTACCCTGACATCAACTGGAAGACAAACTCTGCACCAAATGGGAGATCAAAGAGGTCCTGAAGAACTTAGCAGACAACTAACAATTGATCAATAGAAAGTGCTTTGGTGGCCAGCCTGCCTGCTGCAGTTGAGTGTGGATTGTGCTGGTATCTTGCATTGGACCAGCAAAGCATCTGTGCACATGTTGTAAGAACAAATGGATGGTGAGCCTATGTGCCGGATAACAAATCCTGCCTATCCGTTCAAAGGAGGTGAGCTAATGATAGGTTGGATGAACTGTACCAGACTCTTGCTTGAGTTTACAAAACACTAGTTGAGGCCAACTAGAAGCTGTAGTTGTGTCTATGGAGATTCTCAGTTGTCCAGGTCATGGTTGTCCCAAAGGTGCTTTTTCAAAAGGCAACTGGACTTTCTTTGTTTTTCCTTGAAAGACGTTTCGCTTCTCATCCAAGATGCTTCTTCAGTTCTGACTGAATGGTGGAGAATGGAAGGATGAAATCTGTGCTGTAGGCATCTAAGCATTATTTGAGCATATTGTGCAGATCAGGCAATTGCGGTAAGTAACATAGGTATGCCTGTCTTGTAATTGCAACTGCTTATGTTAGCTAACCTGAATGTAGGGTTTAATGTGTATGGGAATCTAGGATTTATGTCCTGGTCATGAGAAATGATCAGGGTCAAGTGGGTCAGCCTTTCCAGAGCTTCCTTAACCATTCTGAAATATCCCCACTTTGCCCCAGACTAGAGTCAGCAAGGAAAAGGGATGGGCAATTCTATAACTCAGCCCCCTAGAAGGAATCCAGGCTGCGCCCTGTATCCAGGGGAGATATAGCGATTCAGGTTTACACCCAAATTTGGGGCTTTGTGCAAAGCACAGCCCAGGGGAGCAAAATTCCCAGGCCATGTTTCATGTTTGCTTTTCATTCCAGAAACAACTTTTCTCTTTAACCAAACATGTTTCCTTTCTGTCCAAATCTACAACAGAGAAACAAGACTTATCTGTAATGCTGGGTTTGCATTCGGTGCATAATGGGGTGGTGGGTGAGACCTGATCTGAACTTTGGATGAGGCCAAAGATGAAACCACCTTGGATCATTCTAACAGTTGGAAAGACTCACTCCCCACTCCCCAGGATTGTGACTTGGCACAGCAGACGGAGAACGATGGAAGCAGCTTTTAATATAAATGTTTGGATGGAAAGCTGCCTGAGCTGTTTTAAGATGGTCAGGAAGCAGTCCAGCCAAATGAAATACAAGAGGCAAATTTCCCAGAGTCAGTTGTAAACAGGGACCCAATCCAGAGTGATGCTGAATGCGCCATGCACTAAAAACCATACTGCTCGGTCTGGCCTAGTGCAAAAAAACCAGGATATCATCTACTAAAGCAGCATTTCTCAACCTCAGTCATTTGTAGCTGTGTGAATTTCAACTCCCAGAATTCCTCAGCCAACTTAGCATGCCTGCATATATTTCAATGAGAAACACCAAAGCAAGAATGAGAAAGCAAAAGCAGAATACTTTTGAGGTTCTGAGGATCTACTTTTCTGCAACTTATAACCCAGGTTCACAAATCTGACCGTTGGTCCCTTTGACGGTTATGCAACTGATCTTTGGGCGCTCACAACTTCCACTGTTAAATAAAACCACCTGCCTGCCCAGACTTTCGTTCAGCCCCCCAAAAGGGGGGGATCCTTTCAGGCAACTTTTTCTGATTTGGAAGTAGGTACAGCCAAGAGGCTGCAAAGGGGTGGAAAATTCATGAGCGCCAATTGCTGCGATTGCACGGCCAACTAGATGCAGGAAAGTATGTTCTGCAAGTGTGTGAAAAAATGGCTCACTTTTTTCAAGTGTTATTGTAGTTTTGGACAGTCACTAAATGAACTGTTCTAAGTTGAGGACATTTGCTTGATAAAAATACATCGGTAAACAGGTCCCGGGTCCAAAGCCCAGGCTAATAAGCAAAGGCTCTGGGGAGAAAGTCCTACAACTATCTTTTTGCCATTGTCTGGAAGAAATTTACCATTGATTACTGAAGCAAACCAGCAAACATACAGAATGTTCTAACGGCTCAGCTAAGAACAGAGACTGTTAAAGGATGAATCACAGGGGAGGAAATTTGCAAACAGCGGGGAGAGTTTCAGCCCCTGGACAGAGAGCACTTAGCAGACAGTTGTCCAGTCATGCAGAGGGAGGCAGGACCTGATGTTTATCAGATGAGAAGAGGCATTCACCTGTGACAGGTGAGCAAACCCCACTAGTCCTTGTCACCTTGCCAGACTTTCAGCCTTAGATAAGCTGACGGACCCAGAGGGTTTCCATAAAGTTTGCATCAGATTCCTGCTTCTGAGAATACAGGATCGGCACGGACTCAACTGTGTCCCACTAAGTGGAATTCTTTGTCCATCAACAAGACTATAAACTAGGATGGCCAGCCTTGAGGACAAGGCTAGCCCAGGAGGGGGTAGGCAGAAAGTCCAGGTGGCGATGCTTGCCCATTTGCACCATAATTGTCACTGTGTTCTGATCTACTAACAAATTGTAACATCTCAGTTGCACTGATTTGTCGTTGGTATAGACTTTGGGTGACCCTCTGGGCCAGCCCCACATTAGATAACCTGCAGTCATCTAGGATCTGCACTTGAGTTGGGGTGGCCGAATATGAAAAAGATGAATTCTGACATATTGGCCAAACTAATATATATATATATATATATATATATATATATATATATATATATATATATATATATATATATATATATATATGGATCCACTTCATTGCTGCTATTTCTTTCTCCCCAAGCAGGATGGAGTCCTTCAAGTTGGCCTTTGATGAATGAAATCCTTAATCAAAGGAGTCTTCCCTGACCCTCTTTTTCAATATTGTGTTGATTCTGTTTTGTCTGTCTCTCACTTCTTTTGAGAGGCTGACTTCAAAGTTTTCTTCAAAGCTACTTTAAAATACTTAAGGCAAATAAACAGAGAACAAAAGCCAACAGGAGACAGAAGCAATGGTGTGTGTGTGTGTGTGTGTGTGTAAATATTCAGTTAAATATCCTGACCATGCCTAAAAGAGGGCTCTAGAAAACTGATGAGCAGAAATCTGTCATTGGCTTAATCAGTTCTTGGGCCAAGGGAAAATGCTCAAGCTGAATACATTCCCTTCCTCTTAGAGTTGGCTAGGCTGCTTAATCCCCCAGATGTTTTGTCTGGATGGCTATTTCAAACTGTTAAACGTATTTTAAACTTTCTGTCCATAGGGATGTTTCTGACTGTAGACAGCCATCTACAGCTGATGCTGAACAAATTGTCAGATTATGCAGAACTCAGAAGACATGCAGTCCCCAGGTGAGCTGTGCAGGGGGGGGAACCCTACTCATTCTGGGATGCAGAGGAGAGAGGCACCTCCCCCTTGAGTTGCATTCAGGTCTTGAAGACTTCATGGACAGGCAGTTTTTTTAGCATTGTTCCTTTTGTTTCGATCTGAAACTTGAGCTGGCCACGAACAAGGAGTGTATATCGGAGGTGGTGGACCTTTGAGAGCTGTGTGCAAGGAAATTTCATTTTGATGTATGCCGATTGGTGTACATTCAAAGTGGCAATAAAGTTGTTGTTGTTGTCCAGGATGTTTCTAGACTTCCCCTCGCCTGGTGGTGTCTCATTCAGATCTGAAGTGATATCATTTAGCTTGCCGTCTGCCTTCAGTTCATGGTATCTGATGTCAGCTTTTGGGGAGGGTGTTTCTGCCTTTCCTGCCTCCTTCGTTTCCTTTCTGGAGAGAGACGTGCTACAAAAAACGCATTCTCTCCCCCAGACACAGAATAAACAGTGGCTGGAGAGCCTAAATCCAGGGTCACCAAAGGCCACACCATTATTTGGGGCTGCTTGTAACTGGATCTCTCCTTATCTGCTGCCTACTCCACATAGAACCACTGGCCAGCAGCAGCCCGCACTCTCAGAATCAGCAATAAATAATAAAAACTACCTATGTAGTTTTGCAAAAGCACGAACGCTACCCTATCACAAAGTAGCAAAGAATAGAAGAAGAAGAAGAAAAAAAGAAAAAGCGCAGAAAGGAAGAATAAAAAGAAATAGAAGCTTCAGACTTCCTTTGCAGCAAATATAATTCTGGACAATTACAACATTGTCTCTCATGCCATGATCACCAAAGAAAATCCACTCTTTTTATTATCCCCAAATCCCCGCCCGCCGGGGAAGAGCCGCTCCGCCGCTACCAGGAACTACAATTCCCAACCTACCAAGCGCGCCCAGCTTCAAGCAGGCGGGCCGACGGTTAGAAACCGACCAATAACGGGGTGGGAAGGGGCGCGGCCGGGACCGTTGGGCGGAGGCGCGTTCTGCCATTGGCTAGTTCGAGAGAAGGGGCGGGGCCCGGCAAGGCTGGGTCCTGGCGGCGCGGCGCGGCTGCCGCCTCAGAGCGCTGGTTACCTCAGAGCGGCGGCGGCCTCCGTGTTGGCGGGGCTTCGCGGGTGGATGGCTCTGCGCGACCGGGGGAGGTAGGTAGGAGCCGACTCGGACTGGGGTCGGAAGCCCATTCTTAATCCGGATTAAGGGGGTTCGGCAGAGCGGCGCCCGATTGGGGTCGGCGGGGAGGAGCTGGCGGCGTGGCAGCGGGGTGGGTGACCTGGGTGGAAGTGGAGCGTGGTGGGCTCGGGGCGGGTCTAAGATCCAGTCTAGGATCCCTTGCTAGAACGGCGGAGGCTTGCACGGGTTTAGAGGGTTGTGTGAATGCAGCCGACGTGTCCCGAAGCGGCTCTGGCACTGCAAGGCTTGTGGGCAGGAGGGGGACCTGCCATACCTGCCCTTCCCAGCTGGGCTAGGCGAGGTTGGCCCTGGCTGGGCGAACCTGGCCCGGCTATCCGTCGGTAGTTGGATGTGAATCCAGACAGGTAACTCATGTCCCGGGTGGGCGAAAGCTCAGCTGAACTTGGATAGTGTCGGCCCTTGACCAGGATTAAACGTTTCCTCATGAAGCTTCGGAGGGGGCATCTGTCCTGGCATAGTGGGAGGGGGGGAACACCCCGGATGAAATGAACCCTAGTTTATTTTGCAGAGCCAGTTTTCTAGATTTGATCAACTCCAGACCATAAACGACCCTTATGGACTGGAGTGACAAAACGCACTAGGCGAGAAGAAAGCATGATGTATTGTGCGAACGGGGCCATTCTCTGTTCTGCTTTCCCTTGAGGACATTACAGAAATCGTGGGAACGCGAGGTAAAAAGTTTTGGCCCATACAGCAGTGACCCTCAGGCCCCACTTCCCTTCCTCCACTTGACGGTTGCCTTGTGTCCCCTCCCTGCCCCACACAGCCCATTTTCCCCTCTCCACTCTCTAGCCTGCCAGGTAGGGAGGAGATCGAGAGATCTGCACGAGCCCTGGGCATCTCATCCCTGCCAGGCACCCTTCATCCTCCAGAGTCTTTGGGCATTCATCACCTGGTGCGTTTGCTGGAGAGGAATGCCAGGGACTTCCGGGGGGGGGGGGAGGCGCCTGGATTGCTGTCGGGCAACCAGCTGGTAGTGAAGTCACCAGGTTCTGGCCTGGATGATCAATGGCTTGCTGGGATGTCCGACGGCTGGAAACCCAGCCTGGCATCCTGAGGACATCCCAGCAAGGCGTTTGCCGTCCCAGCACTGATTGTTTTCCAGCTTTGCATTTTTCCTGTGCCGGCTTGAATGCCAGCCGCCTGGAAAGCAGAGGAGTCAGGCCAGGAGGGCGAAACTTTCTGGGGTCAGATTTTCTTAGAAGTTGAAGGGAGGGGGTGGAGACCCTCCTGTGTTTGCGGTCCTGGGATTAGCTTTTCCCCTCCTTTGCCTTTCTGAGATAATTGATTGACGGTTGTTTTCCTCTGCCTTCCAGAGCTCCATCCGTTCTGATCCTGAACTAGCCCCTGGCCTTTGGAGGGACTTCCTTTCTCTGCCTGGCCTTTCTCTGCCTGGCCAGCTTCTTTGGAGAGAAGGAGGGGGGCCCCGAGGGCGGAATCTGACAGCATGTCCGAAGAGGCGCTCCTGAGCATGGATGAAGGGACGCTCCGGAAACTGGTGAGTTCCTTTCCCCTGATGTTGTTGCCCTGCTCTGGAGAACTGACGGTTTGCGGCTTTGGGTTTCTGAGCAAAGAGAAGGGTTCTTTCTGCCTTTGGCCTAGCGATGTTTGTGGCTGGGTGGAGGCCTAGATGTTGTGGTCACTTTGCTCACTTCTTTTTCATCCCTGCGGATCGGTTCCTCCCACCCCTTCAGTCCACCGTGGATTTTTAACGGCTTCATTTGCAGGCACGGATTGTTTTCCAGCTTTGAATTTGTCCTGGGCTGCCAATTTATGCTTCTGGATAAAAGGGGTGGGTTCACACTTTGTATTAAGCACAGGGTTTTGGGAACATGATTTGTTGAACAGCCTGCTGGGGCTAAGTTTACGGTCGGCTAAGTGGGACTTTTGAGTGACAGTGACGCTTTGGGGGAAAAAAAAATCAGTAGCCACGAAGCTTAAGGGGACGCATGAACCCGTTATCCTTTGAGATGAGTCCATGGGATGAGTTTACAGAAGCTGCTTAATCCAATTCTGTAAATTTGTCTGTTGCAAATGTTTACACATTATACTGGCCTAGTTCTTACTCAGTACGTACCAGTCCAAAAGCAAGCAAACCATATCTTATAAGTGACAGTTGCTTAAAGCCTTACTTAACTCGATTACTGAATTTCCTGCTTTCTGGCTTCTTGCACTAGATTGAATCTTAAGGTAACCAAACCAGCTGGATTCATAAAATGGGCTGAACCACAAATAGCTAATCCAGATTACAGCCCGCCTGGCTTACTAAAAGCAGCTTCCGGTCTTTAATTGTCCTGGTGAGAAATCCAGGGGATGAATGCAGAGGTCTTTCTTTGTACACCACTGGGAGGCTGTCAGAGCCCCTTCCCCACTTTGCCTCCTTGAATTGCTCTCCTTTCAGACCCAATCTTGATTTCACAAGTTTTTTCTTTCTTTCACCATACCTTTGTTTATATTTTGAACACAGTCCTTGTGCGACTTATCTTTTGAGTTCATGCGAGTTGCCGTTCCACAGTTGGACACAGACTTTGCAACTTCTTCTCGCAAGGTTTTGAAATCCTCCTTTACGCAATGCACAGATGTCCAAATCCATGGCTGTGGGAAATAGCAAAGTCTGTTGTGTTTGGTGGCTTTCAGTAGATCAGCTCCCTACCACTCATCAGTGGGAAGGACTCGCCTAATTGCTCCTTTACTCACCCCGCCAGCTGGAAAATAAATACATCCACCCCAGGCTTTTCTGGCGTCTTAGCTTTCCTGCCATTTGAGCAGAGTTCGGCCAAAGCGCTAAGCTTTTAGTTTGCTTTAGCACGTTGTGTAAACTTTGCCGTCCCAGCTTAAAACCTGCAGCATAGAACAGACTTTTCTCCAACCTGGATGCCCTTCGGCTGTGTGGTTTCCGATTCCCAGAGTTCTCAGCTGTGGCCCTAATAGTTGTGAAATGAAGGAGGAGAGATGTGTTTGTGTGAAGGAGGCTGCCTGGACAGGACAGGAGACAGGAGCTCAAGCCACTGTGACTTATCCAACTGACACGTGACATTCTTCCAATTGCAGAGGAGTCGTCCTGTTAATACTTATATTCATATTTAGATGTTGCTTATGTGTAAGGGTGTAGGTCTGTACGCATGTTGTACATAGTAAGTTTTAAATGTGTGCTATGTATGTGTACACTTTGAGAGAAGGCAACTAAATTTCATTTTTAATGTGTGCCATTGTGCCCACAGGAAAAAAAATGACAATAAAGGTTATCTGATCTAATCTATTCCTATTGCCGCGCCCCATTGCAGGCTGAATCCTGCTCGCTTTAGCTCCTATAAAATGCCAAAAGAGCACTTTTGAAATCAAAGCCAGTGTTCCGGCAGAATTCAGAATAGAGAGCTGGAAGGGACCCTGGAGGTCTTCTAATCCTGCTCATAACATTTCAGACAAGTGTCCAGTCTCTTCTTAAAAACCTCCAGTGATGGATGGAGCACCTACAACGTCCAAAAGCAAGCCGTTCCACTAGGTTGCTTCTCTCCTTGATTAGTTTCCATCCATTGCTTCTTGTCCTGCCTTCAGGTGTTTGGGAAAATAAGTTGACCCCCCCTCGTCTTCGTGGCAGCCCCTCAAATATTGGAATATTGCTATCAAATCACCCCCATTCCTTTTCTCTAGACTATTCATACCCAGTTCCTGCAGCCATCCTTCATATGTTTTAGTCTCCAAGCCTTGAATCATCTTAGTTGTTCTTCTCTGCACTTTTTCCAAAAGCAGCTTGATGATGGGTGGACTTCAACTCCCAGAATCCCCCAACAATCAGCATGAGAGTTGAAGTCCACCCATCGTCAAGCGGCAGAGGTTGAGAAACACCGACTTAAACTGTAAGCCGGTGGCATCCTGTGCTGGCTGGGGTGCCCTTTTTCAAGCCATCTTCCTTGCAACAAGGGTTTGGTCTGACCGACGAGAAGCCATTCTGTTCCCTCCACCCTTCTCTGCACGCCACAACAGCTCCTTGGTGGGCCAAGCTGGGACTTGGGGACCCTGGCCCGTTACCCCTGCGCTGCCACTCACCCTTTGCTATTCTGCAGCTCTTTACTGTGGGCTGGGAGGCGGTTCGTAGAATTCCTCGGCCAGCATTTGCTGGAAAGTTGGCAGCTAAAACCTGGCAACATCTGGGGCGCTCTAAATGGAGAAGCTGCTATTAACGGTTATGGTTGAAGTTGAATTCTCCCCCCCCCCCGCCAGGAATCTGACTGTGCTTCGGTTCCCAAGTCTCCCCCATGGGGAGGGCACACTGCTGAAGTCATCCCGTGTGAAACTGCAGGAGAGATGAAAGAATGCAGGGTGTGGCCCACGCTCAAAGGTACAGGCTCAACGGAGAGCAGCTGGTGAACCTGGCCAGGCTGTTTCCTCTGGAGCAGCCAGGAGGTGGTTGGGCTTCTTTCAGGAACTTTCTAGACTTTCACTCTGGCAGTTCTTGGGGATTCCCATTCCCCACTAAACTGGGTCCAAACTTTTAGGGATGGGCCGAGGTTAGCTGGGTGCTGCTGTCTAGCAGGTCTTCCTCTTGCGACAGAGAAAGGCAATAAAGGAGAATCTTTGTAGCGCAGGGTTGAAATGAGGGCTCCTTGGCGCTCTCCGAGCTTGCTTGTTTTCTTGCAGATGTTTCGTGAGCCAAATCTGGTAACCTCATCAGTGCTAGAAGGGAGTGGGGGTTACAGAGAGGAGGAGGAGGAGGAGGAGACTGACTCTGGGGGGTCCTTGGTGCTCTCTGGGCTGTTTTCTTGCAGACGTTTTGTGACCCAAATTAGGTAATGTCATCAGTGCTAGTGATGGTGTTACCTCATTTAGCATTGATGCTGTTACCTCCTTTGGGTCATGAAACATCTGCACGAAAACAAGCCAGCTCAGAGAGCAGAGGGTCCCTCGCAGAGAGCCAGCTTTGCATTTCTTATTTTGCTGCATTGCGGGGCAAAAGTCATTTCACAAATGTCTTGCTCAGCAACAAAAATGTTGGACTCCATTGTGGTCATATGTCGAGGGCTACCTGGACTAGAAAGATGTAGTTCAGGGGTCTTCAAACTTGGCCCTTTGATGACTTGTGGACTTCAACTCCCAGAATTCTTCAGCCAGGTACGTCCACAAGTCATCAAAGGGCCAAGTTTGAAGACCCCTGGTGTAGTTTGACAGAGGGAGCCTCAGTTTCCCCTCCCTCCCCCAGTATAAAAGTTTTGCTTCCTTGGGAACCATTTTTCTTCCCAGCCAAAGTGAGTTTGCCTTCTGCTCTCTCTTGGACTCACCTGGCCCCGCAGCAGCAGCCACCGGAGGGAAGGCACCGCTGCCTGCCGCACACAAGGGGCCCTTTGTGCTCCCTGGCAGGGATTCTTTGCTGTTTGTGCTTTGGGGAGGAGTGCCAAAATAGGTTTCCAGCGGCCCAGCCCTGCCTGGAAGGGGGCGAGCAGCACTGTTCAGACGTGAAGCCGCTGGCACCCTCCCCTGCCAGCTGAGGCATCGCCCACCAGGAAGGCTGTGGGAGGCAGGAGACTTTTCCTGGATGCATCCAGGGGTCCTGCTGAAAACATGGGGGTGGGGTCTTCTTCTTTCGCTGGCTGGGGGAATTACAGCTCCCAGGGACCCCAGCCAGGAACTGGGCTACGAGGCAAGTAGGAGAGGAGCTACAGTCCCCCAGACGGGGGTCACATTACAGCATTCATCTGCTAGTTCAGTTCCCCCCCCCCCCAACTTTAAGATGCATGGACGTCAATTCTCAGAATTCCCCAGCCAGCTGTGAAAAGAACAGTCGTAAGCTATGCTGGCTGGGGAATTCTGGGAGTCGAAGTCCACCCATCTTAAAGTTGCCGTGGTTGGGAAACACTGCTAATTTATGAAAGGTTGAGAAAAGGCAGCTTCTGTCCTTCCTTCCTCCCTTCCAGCTGTTTTTCTGCGAAGGGGAAATGAGCCGTTGAAATACCTGGGAAAAGGGGCGTGGCACGTTGGCACTGATCTCCGCCCAAAGCATCTGGAACAGGAAGAGTTTGCCTGGAGGCGCGAGCATCTTTCAGTGCTAATTCCTCTTGTCCAATGCCATTGCCTGTTGTGCGGACCAAGCCGTTCCCTCCTCCAGACACAACAGGTGCAGATCAGTGTGCAAGAGTACAAAGTCACAAGCAGGAAACCAACATTGGTATAAAGGGAGTGTTGTTCTCATCAAAGCAGATCTGCAATTTGCAAGGTTTTTTTTGGTCTGGTCTTCTGGGCAAAGCAGAGGGGCAGCATTTGATTCCTCCCAACCCTCCTTTAATAGGAGCCAGGAAAATTGGCACTATTGATCATTTTCAGGGCAGAAGAGCGTTTGAGTGAAACACCAGCCGGCTGTGTGTGGCAGCAGCCAAAAAAGCTAACACAATCCAGGGCTTCATAAAGAGAGGCGTAGAATCAAAATCACGTGAAGTCTTAATGCCACTTTATAAAGCCTTAGTCAGGCCACACCTGGAATAATACATCTAGTTTTGGTCACCGCATTATAAAAAAGGAGGAGATCAGGGATCAAGACTGTTTAAAGTAAAAGGATTACTTTGAACAGGGCCAAAGTAGATATTAATTGCTAATTAAACTAATGAATTGGCTAGCTCTTATTGTGAAGCCACAAAAATGCCTTTCCTTGTTGCTGTTCATTTTGGGTGTCTTAGAAGCGGGTGGAAGTCTATCCCGAGCAAATGCCCTTCCGGTTTATTGTCTTTCTTCAGCCACTGAGCCCTTGTCTGGTGGGGGGATATGGGTGTGCCAGTCTGAATCCAGTTCTGCCAGCCCGGTGCCCTTTGAGCTGATGGGGCTTCTGGATCCCAGGAGGCCCATTTGGAGCCGAGTCTGAAGGCTAAGTCAGCCTTAGCTGTAGCAAGCCTTTGATCCAGCCAGCTGGGAATGATGGGAGGTGTATTCCCGCAGATGGAGAGGCAGGGTGTGGAAGGCATCGTGATATGTGTGTCTGTGGGTGCAGACAGCAAGTTTTCCTTCTGTCTGCTGCTGCGAGGGAGTTAGACCATATAAGGAGAAACACTCCGTCCTTTTAGCTTCTTTTACTCCTTCTCTTCCTCCCCTCCCCTCCAGTTGGCTTTCCCTCCTTCCTTTCCCCCTTTCCTTGTTTGCATAGCCTTTTCCTTTTGGGCACCCCTCCCCAAAGAGTCACCCCCCTTCTTTGGTTTATCTTGCAGTTTCACATTTTCTCAATGCCATTGTAACTTTTCGAACAAGCTGTTGTAAATTGAGGACTATCTGCACATCTCTGATGAGAGGCTAATAAGACAACAAGAAGTGGGGGGTCTTCCTGATCTCACAGCACAGCTGTTCAACAAAGCAACCGCCGGTCAGATGTTTGCAAAGTTCTTCCTGGTTGAGACCAATGGAAGCAGGAAAAGGGAGTTTGACGTTGATGCGGCCACATAAAGGACGGTTGCAGGATTTGGGTCTGGCTTGTCTGGACTCTGCCACCTAGAGTTTTAGCTCAGCACATCTGGAAATCGCCAACATTTATCATTATAGAATCAACACATTCCTGCTGCCTCATAAAGCCTCTGAAGGGCCTGTCTTTCGCAGCTACAAATTGCGCATTTCAAGGGCTCCTTTCCAGCCCCATCCGTCTCGTCTCCGTCTCCATCACCCGGCGATAACTAGCCTGGGCAAAGGGAGGGAGAGCTGTCAGCAGCTTCCTTCAGGCTGGCTGAGCAAGTTCTTGTCCACTTCCTATACAGTTCGGGGCCCCGAGGCGCCCCACGATCTCGGCTGAGCATGATGGGGCCGATGCTTCTGCCTGCCAGTGGCGCCTCTGCAGAACGAGGGCTGCTGAAGGGCAATTGCTCACCTCTTGTTTCTCAACTTTCCCCCTCCCCGTGGGCAGACTTGCACGCACTTGCACGCACTGCACATACACACCCTGCTTTCTGCCTCCCCCAAGCTCTTGATTTTAAAAAGTAGGCAGTGAATAGTGATGCAAACATCTGTGGCCATGAGTGAAGGCAATCACGGTTTCTCTGGACCATTCTGGATAGTTCAATCTGGTCACTGAAGCCAGCAGGAGAGTTCCGGAACGTGAGTGCCAGGCATCCATCCTCTCTTGGAAGGCACAGAGGTATCCGGCACCTAGCTGAGGTGGAGGAGACTTTTGGGCCCAGGCCAAGCCAGGGGACGGGTGTGTGTGTGTGTACCCCTTGACTCTGGGGAGAGCACAAGGGCTTGGCCGGAGGGACAGTAGCACTTTGTGCAAACCTCACACTGCACCCATTGTGTGCCTGGCGCTGGGGGTGGCCAAAAAGAGGCTGGAGCGTGCCTCTTCTGGGTGGGGTCGGCCTCCGCAATGCCCTTGACCCGGCCGTGAATGACTCTCCTCTTGCACTGTTTCCTTCCCCCCCCCAGCTGGAGGCCACCCTGGACTTGACGGAGCGCAGGCAGATTCGCTCGGCCATCCGGGAACTGCGCCGGCAGGAGCTGGAGCGAGACGAGGAAGCACTGGCATCCAAGCGCTTCCGGACAGAGCGGCAGGAGAACAAGGAGAACCGGCTGAGGTGAGTTGGGGCAGGGGGGCTGCTTCCCTCTGCACCCCACTTTTCTCGGATTGTAACCTCCCTGGGCCAACCTCCCCAAGCATTTTATTTCTTCGTTAAATGGCTCACGGCCACAGTTGAGCCCAAGATTTATATTGCTAAGCGAGACAGTTGTTAAGTGAGTTTGGCCTCATTTTACGACCTTTGTTGCCACTGTTGTTAAGCGAATCATGCAGCTGTTAAGTGAGTCACACCGTTGTCAAGTGACTCTGGCTTCCCCCTTTGACTTTGCGTGTCGGATGGTTGCAAAAGGGGGTCACATGACCCCCCCCCCCGGGTGCTGCAACCGTCGTAAATACGAACCAGTTGCCAAGCGGCCAAATTTTGATCACGCGACCACAGGGAGGCTGCGACGGTCATAAGTGTGAAAAGGGGTCCTAAGCCACTCTTTCCCGTGATGTAACTTTGAACAGTCACTAAACGAAGCATTGTAAGCCGCCTTCTTGGTGCCCTCTCGTCGCCTTGCACCAGCTGAGGCCGTTGGATCCTTGTCCCCGGCCGCAGGAGCTCTCTCTCTCTCTCTCTCTCTCTCTCTGTTCCCTGGGGGAGGCAGCCGCTGCCAGGCAAGCGAAGAGTCCGGGACGCCTGTCCGAGTGACGCCCCTCTCCGGCTTTGCTCCTTTCAGGTCCTGGCAGCGAGAGGAGGAGCAGCGACAGCAGAAGTCTCTGGATGCCCTTTCGAGAAAGCTGGAGACCATCCAGGATGTGGAGGAGCTGACCAGCCTGGTAGGTCCTTGCTGAAGGGGGCTGACCTCTCCGGGGAGGCTCTTCCTGTCTCCGGAGGAGCCCCGGTGGGCACTTTCACATTCCAGTGCGCGCTCAGGGGGGCACACAGATGGAGCTGCACCCCGTACGCTTCTGGCTGCTCGTGCAGAACCATCCCCTCTCCCTCCTCCCACCAGTCCGCAAAGGCAGAAACGTTGGGGAACTCTGCTGTAAATTGTGGTGAAGCGGTATATAAGTCTAAGTGCTGTGGCTATTTTCCACCAAGGTTGTGCTTGGACTTCCGCTTCAGCCTACGGATCCAGGCTCTCTGGGTGGCCTCCCGTCAGCGTAAGGGCCGCACAGTGGGGGAATGATCCCTTTGCCCCTTTGCTGATTTTGCTTCTCTTCTCAGCTGCGAGGAACCAGTGAGTACGAGGAACGCAAACTCATCCGGGCTGCTATCCGCAAGCTGCGCGCCGAAGAAATTGAAGGTACGAGGCCCAGCTGGGTTGTACCCACAGCTCAGGGTGGAGTGTCAAGAGGGATCGCTGGATCCCCTGGTCACCACGGTCCCCTAAGCAAGGTTCTCTAAATGATCCCGGCCTGCTTGAAACGGCTCCTATTCCCTCTCTCAAGCTGCAACGTTAGCAGGGAAAGCGTTCAATAACCGGAGGGCCGCCGACACAGTTCGGGCATCCAAGGAGCAAGACGAAAACGCTGCAGGAGACAGAAACACGCAGGTAAGCGGGGGCTGCGGCGATGGCTCATCCCCGGAGGAGAAGGCAGGGAGGGTCCCCCTGCATTAGGGGGCATCGGATTTTCCCCGGGGCCCGAGACGTTTTCATCTCGGCGGTAAATCTTCCTTGCTGGCCTCTCAGGTAGCTGCCCAAAACTGGATGCAGTATTCCAGGTTTGGTCTTTATAAGGGTTTGTAAAGTGGTACTAATACTCCCCCGTGGAGTCTCTTGGGGATTCTGCTGCCAGCCTGGCATCCGTCAGAGGCAGGGCTGCCTGCCTGCTCGGGTCCTTCCATCCCTGGAGGGCCCCCTGTTGGAGAAGAGTTGTCTTGAGTACTTGGCCTTCCCCATTTTCCCCACCAGAGGGCAGCCTTCTCCTAGTTGGTGAGTTGGGGCTCCTTTCTGCTACCCTGCCCAGCTTGAGCAGCCTGTCAGATTACAACTCCCATCGTCCTCCATACCCCCGTGGCCGAAGGCAATGGCAGGTGTCCAGAAACTATGGAGGCCTCCAGTCGGAGGTTGCGGTGCATTTCCATTTTAAAAAATGAAAAAAATTGTCGTCTTCCGCGGAGGCAGAAAGCTGCTCTGAAACTCCCCCTGACCTGCTGGATTTCTGCATGAAGGAATTGGCCCTACCTGAGCGCACCTGAACAAGGGGACCTTAACCGCACTTCCCAGTTTTTGGGGAAAGGAAGAGTGTGCCACGTGCACAGAATTTTAAGGGATTCCTCTTTTTTGGGCTCAATTCAATTGCAGCCGCTTCCCGGAGTGTAAAATGGGGGCAAAATTCACCTTACCGGTATCTCATTTAACCACGGAAATTCGTAACTCGATTGTGGTCGTAAGTTGAGGACCACCTGAAACACAGCTTCCCAGGATCGGAGGCTGTGTGCGACGAGGGTTTTTGCTGAACAGATCTTAAGGGCCGAGGCTACACTTCCCTTTTGGCCTCCTCTAGGTGCAGAAGCGAGCCGGGCAGGAGCTGGTCCAAAGCCAGATGCAGGAGCAGCTGGATCCCAAGGGGGCCGACGCCCCAGGTGAGGCTGGGCCGAGGGTCCCTGCAGGAGGCACCTGGGGTGGGCTGGGGGGAGGCCTGGCATGGAGCCCAGCCTGTTGGCATGAGGGCCCTTGTAAAGGAGTACCGAGTAGAAAGCTGGAGCCTGCAGATGCCTTGGTGTGGATGATGGGAGTTGTAGACTTGGCTGTTCCTTCTGAGAGAGGTGGGCTTTCTTAACCCCCTTCTTCCCCAAACAGGGTCTTCTTTGGGCACTGTTCTGCTCCTGGAAGCCGTCCCCAGCCACGCGCCTTCCGTGTTAGCTCCTTTCCCAGACAACGAGGCCGGTGGTGAAGACCCTGGGCCCAACTCCCAGGATGAGGATGCTGGCCCCGAACCGCAGCCCTCTTCCCGGGAGGAGGAAGAGGAGGAAGCGGGAGGCCTGGCACCCCCCAAAGGCGAGGAGGGGTTGAGCTCCTCTCAAACCAGGAAAGAGGAGCAGCTGGAGGAGGAAGGCGCTGGGGGGGAAGCCCCCCCCAAAGAGGAGTCTCTCCTGAGCCAGAATAGAGAGGTACCTTGGGGAATCCTGCTTAGCTGAGAATTGGGGCGGGGGCAATCCCGCCTGGAATGGACGCTTGCTGGGTCTAAAATCCTCCCCCTCCCCCTGGAGATTACAGGTTTTTCAGGAGGGCTGTACGACTTTCTCCAACCTGGAAACCTTCCAGGTTTGTGTCTGTGTGTGTGCGCGTGTGTGTATGTGTGCACCTCATCAATATTCTGATTGCATTTCTTTCCACCCCAGGTTGTGTCTCAAGCCCCAGAAGAGGGAGAAGGCGCTGCAGGCCAGGAGGGAGACAGAGATGGTACTTTGTGTGTGTGTGCTCCTGGCCTCTTTGCCCGGCTGTCTTCAGCCTCCTGTGAGGCCCCCCCCCTTCCTGCCCAGAAAGGGCATTTCTGCTTTTCAGAGTTGAACCTTTCACATTCTTTCGCCCAATAAGGTCAGGAACATCTTCTCCCTTCTTGAGGCTCTCTCCTTTATTTGTGAAAGCCCCTCTCCTCTCCCCTCCTCTCCTCTCTCCTTTCCTTTCCTTTCCTTTCCTCCCCTCCACTCCCCTAATTTCAGGTAGCTGCCCCAGTTTCACCCTTGACAGGGGTGTCCGTGCCTGTGGGAGGCTGAATCCCTCCCTCTCTAACGCGGCTTCTGTTTTTCCACTTTAATGCTTGACAGCCTCTTTAGCAACTGCCCTGCACGGAGCCCCCCAAAAGGTAGAAACGGACGGCTGCAAAGCTCCCCCTAAGCCACCCGGCGCAGGTAATGCTCTGAGCCTCCCTTGGTCCTTTGCCCAGCGGACATCCGTCCCGGTTCAGGATACGATCCGCCGGATGCCTTTCCTTGCCGGCCGGCCTGGCAAAACCAAGGAAAGGCTTTCGGCCATGTGGCTCAACCTTGACTTCCTCTGGGAATTCTGGGAATTAAAGCCCACCCACCCGCAAAAATCCAAGGGTGAGAAACACTGGATCTCAGACCCTGGGGGGACACCCAGAGCCCCAGCCCAGCCTGATGAAAAGCCTGGAAGGTGCAGGGGGATTGGGGGGGCGAGGCCGTGCTAGGCTGCCCAGAGGGGACTTCGGAGAGGAGGAGGAGGCCGTGGCCCACTCCTTAACATGTTGGGGACATTTATAGTGGGGACCCCCCTGACTTTCCCCCGCTTGTGATCTGCCTAGCCCAGAAAGGCTGAAAAGCAGCACAGCAGCCCTTGTGCGGTTGGAGCTGCCTGTTCCCCCTTCTTTCCTTTTTTTGGAAAGAGACGAGATTTTCTGGATATAACTGGGAGGGAAGCCGAGGACAACACTGAGCGCTTCCATTTCCTGGGGTGGAAACTCTCCCACCACCCCCCCCCCAGGCCTGGCAGAGCTCCCAGCCGCTTGAGATAAACCACTCTCTGCTCCCAGGCTGGTCCTCCCCCTCCCTCCACTGACATCTCCCTCCCCTCTTTCCCTCCCCTCTGCAGAGCCGTGCCGGGAGCAGCCCTTCCAGAGAGCCGGCTCCATCCGGGAGCGTGCTCGCCAGTTTGTCTCCGGCACCCCAAACCCTCCGGCTACATCCCAAAAGGGAGAGAAGGGTGGCAGAGGGCTGCCCGTCCTGCCACGGCAGCATTTTTTACCCTCCCAGCCGGTGGCCAACTTACCCTCGGGGGACCAGGGCGGCGATGCTGGCATTCGGACGCTCCAGGCTGGCAGCACGGCGCAGGATGCAGCCCGGACCGGCCCTTCTCACGCCAAGGCTGGGGCAGGCAGGCCCCCTTCGCAGGCTCCGGCCGTCCCTAAAGAGGCAGGCGGCCCCCAGGGGCGGGGCCAGGGCAGCCAATGGCAGGAGAGGAAACTATCCCCCGCCCGGCCCGGTGTTGAAAACGCCAAGGGGGGCTCCCTGGACTCAGAGGTGCCCTGTAGCCAGCAAAGTGGCTCTGCCCACAGCCCTGCAGACTCCCTGGTCCTCCGTCCAGCTGCTGCCCACCCGGACGACGAGATGAAGACCCTCCTCACCATTGAGATCAAGGACAGCCGCACTCAGCCTCTGCGGGGCCACCTGGCGGGACCCCCGGGGAACCAGCGGGCAGGTGAGGGGCACAGGGTCACTGGAGGGCAAGGGTGTCTCTCGCTTGGATTCCCTTTTTTTGCCAAGGAAGAAAGATCTTCCTTCCTTCCTTCCTTCCTTCCTTCCTTCCTTCCTTCCTTCCTTCCTTCCTTCCTCCCTCCCTCCCTCCCTCCCTCCCTCCCTTCCTTCCTTCCTTCCTCTCTTCCTTCCTTCCTCCCTCCCTCCCTCCCTTCCCTTCCTCACGAACCATGCTCCTTAGACTGGGGAGCAGATTGTAACCTCTCCCCCTCTGCGGATACGGGGCTAGACACCGGGTAATGAAATGAGTTGCAGGAGGGGGGCGGTGGATCCAATTGACCTGCACCTGGAGACTGTGCCTGTACATTAGATGTACCTCCTAATTGGTGGGAAGTACCAAGAACGTGTTAGGGTGGCGATCCCGGCTTGCAGAGAATAGCGTGAGCAAAGTTGGGGCCAAGCTGGATTTGGGTTGCGCTTGGCTGATCCTACCCCAAATATGCCCAAACTGACTGACTGACCATCCATAGGCAGGGAATGGGCAGGCTAAGACTGACTGGCCTTTACGCTCTGCACCTGTCCTTACCTTACCAAGAAAGGCTACGCAGGTATAGGTACGCCAGGCGAGGAGGGGTTTGTGCCCACCTGGTGAAATTTCAGCTTGGTTGCCGCTTCATTTCTTTACCTCTCCTCTTCCGTTTCCTCGGCTGATCCTTTCTTCCTCCTCTGCACATCTGCTCTGCACATCTGGCTGATCCCAGCACGCCTGAAAGTCAGGCAGCCAGTGGTGGGTTTGCACTGCCGCAAGTAAGGTACCCCCCCCCGCCCCTCTCCAGAGCAGGGACAGGTTGAAAAGTTAGCCAGAAACGGACAGCTGGGGGCCGTTGCGTGAATTGAGGTCCCAGAGGCTGGAAACTTTCCTATTTTGGGCGAAATCTCTTCTGCACGCAAGGGGCCAGGCTGATGTTTATCATCTTCACTGGATGGAAAGTTTTATTGATGGTAGTGTGGTTTAAAAAAAAAAAAAAATTCTGGCATCAGCTCCTTCTTTTGCAGTGGAGAAGACATTCATTGCTCTCTCTCTCTCTCTCTCTCTCTCTCTCTCCAAAATCCAGAGCAGGCTAAATCTAGGTTTAGAAGGCTGTGGATGATGGTGGCTGAGCAGCACAGACACTGATATGCATGTTCCTCACGGTTGTGTTGGGTTGCACAGCTGCCTTGTATGTTCCAGAGCTTGCTCTTCCGTTCAGATTGAATCTGGCTGTGATTTGTCTGGCTTTGGCTTGGAAGCAAGTTTGCCCACTGCCGCTTGACACTTTGCATGATGTGGCCTGAACTACAACTCATCGTTCCCAGCCAACTCTTGCAGCTTGGAAGGCTGGGAGGGCATTGGTTGCTACTTGAAGATGCAGGCTTCTCCTTGATGGCCTGCCTGGGGTGAGGGGCTGGTCCTGGGGGCAGAAGGCTTCCTATTAAGGGAGTCCCGTTTGCTTGTCGGTCTGATTTACAGCCCGTTCAGTCTGGAAAGCTTGAGAGAGATTAACTGTGTGTCTTTGCATCCTTGGAAACCCATCATCCCCTTGCTCCTTTTTACAAGGCTGGGCTGATCTGGAGAAACAGTCCGGAACGTTTGAGCTTCACATACCTCTTAAACGCTTATGATGTCTTTGCGGGCGGACCTGTGAGACAATAAGTCGGGCAGCTACTTCCAAATTCGGTTAATCTCGTCTCTGCAAGCCCCTCTTCTTGCAATAGCTCCTTTGGGGCATCTCTCACCCCTGTTTTCCTCTCCGAAACCCACAGAGCTGACCCTGGGACTGCGGAACTCCCCACTACGCATCACCTCCTCCAGCCATGGCAGCTCCAGCAGCAGCTTTGCAAAGGTGAGTCTCTCTCTCTCTTCATTGGCCTCCAATTCTGCCTGCAGGAAGGGACTTCCTTTGCTTGGTCCCGGCTTGGCTTTTGTGAAGGGGTGGGGGGAAGCTGGAAGGCAGGGGAGGAACTCTTGAGCCCAACATTTAGTTGTTAAACATAAACACTGGACATGCTCTCTCTCTCCCTCCCTCCCTCTCTTTCCCTCCCTCTCTCTCCTCTCTCTTCCTCCCTCTCTTTCTCTCTCCTTCTCTCCCTTTCTCTCTCTCTCTCTCTCTCTCTCTCTCTCTCTCTCTCTCCTTCTCTCCCTTTCTCTCTCTCTCTCTCTCTCTCTCTCTCTCTCTCTCTCTCTCTCTCTCTCTCTCCTTCTCTCCCTTTCTCTCCTTCCCTCTCTCTCTCTCCCTCTTCCTCTTTCTCTTTCTCTCTTTCTCTCCCTCCCTCTCTCCCTCTCTCTCTCCCTCCTCCTTCCCCCCTCTCTCTTTTCTAATTGGCTTTGTAGAACCATCTGACCAGTCCTAAGGGGCTTTTTCTCAGTGGACGAGACCCAGGTGGTCTCTTGTGACTTGGGTGAGAGTATATTGTGCAAGAAGACCTGGGTGGTTTTGTGCAAGTACAGGAGACAGATTGAGTCTTGAGCGCTGACACTTTTGTCTCTGATTATCTTATTGCCCTTACCTGCTGCTCAAACTTGTCTGGGTTGGAGTTCTGGGGGCAGAAGACCTTCCCCCTTTTGGGGGGTCCTTCTCAGCCCAAACTCTTTCGAGCCTCTCGGGGAGAACAGTCTGGCCACTTGCCTCTCCACAACATCTACAAAGGTCCTTGCAAAGGAACGGACCCTTTGCAAGGGAAGGCAGTTTTCCTCCTGCTGGACGAGCCCAGCTCCCCCTTCCCCCATTCCCTCGGCCAGCCGGGTCCCTTGGCTCCTGTCCAGCCCTCTGTCCTTGTCTGTCACGGGAATGCCACCCAGGATGGAGGGCTCCTCTGCGACCAGAATAGCTGGCCAGTGACATCCAGGCTCAGCCCACCGTCCTGCCTTCTGGATCAAGCCAGGCAGCCGAGAAGACGGGCGTCCACTGTCTCTCGGGACACCGGACCTGCACCCCAAGGGAGCTTTGCCGCCACCCCTGAACGGCTTTTTTTGTTTGCCCCTCGTCTTGTCACCATGCCTGGAGTGCCCACCCCCGACCTGGAGGGCAGGCAGGAGCCGTCTGCCACCGGCCCTGAGGAGCCGGCCTCACAGGAAGCTGGTCAGAACAAGGAGACCTATCGCCAGATCCTGGAGCAGCGGGTGGCAGAGGCGAAAAAGGTGGTGGGCATGCTGGTCTCGGCCATCGGTAACCTGCGCCAGGAGGCCGCGGCCTTACGGGCTGAGCAACAGCACCTCCGGCAGCATATGGAAAAGCTCCGGCAGTTTCTGAAACAGGAGAAAGAGGCCAGCACGAAGCTGCAGGCGCCAGAAGATCCGTGCGCCAAGGTTGAGGGCGCCGAGACAGCACAGGAGCCGGTGGCGCAGCCCCCAATCTCCTCCAGCACCGGGGAGGCTTCTGAAATGCACCTATCTGGCAGTAGCAGCAACAGCAGACCTGGGAGCCCCCCGGCTGCAGAGAGCAGCAAGTAGTTTTGAGGAAGGATGATTCGCACCACCCACCCACCCACTTCTCCTTGGAGCAGAAGGGGGCGGCTGGCCCTGCTCTCCTGGCATGAAGAAGGAACAGGACGCTTCTGCCACCATCCGGGTTCCTCCTCCGAAGAACCCTGAATCCCAGGACTCTTTGAGGGCACCCAGAGAGATTCCCGCCCCCCCAAAAAAGAAATTTTAATGAACATTAAAACGAGGACATCAATGAAGTCCGCTGCAGAGTGAGAAATGAACGCAGAGCAAGCTCGGTGCTGAGGGACGTCGAAAGGCGTTGTGGAAATTAGGCGGTTCCAGTAAAATCTTACTGCTTTATTACCTTGTATCGCTTGTTATGTTTAGGCAGGAGGGGGAGATTAAGGGGAGGGGGGGTTGGAAAAAAAACACCCAGTCCTGATTCTCCTGGCTTTGGGGAGTTTTGGGTCTCCTCTGCACCCGGGGTGGGAGGCATCGTTCAGCCCTGCTGGTGTCTCCTTACGGAGAGTCCCATGAAATATGGGATCCTAAAAATAGAGGCTGGTTTCAGTCAAATGAAATCAGGCTGTTTATCCTAGCGGTCTCTGGAGAGTCAGGCTTGCAAATGAGGGGGGGGGGGCATCTAGAGCAGTTTCTCAATCTTGGACACTTCAAGGTATGTGGGTTGAATAGGAATAGAATGGAATGGAATGGAATGGAATAGAATAGAATAAGGAATAGAATAGAATAAGGAATAAATAGAATAGAATAGAGAAGAGAAGAGAATAGAATAGAATAGAATAGAAAATAAAATAGAATAGAATAGAATAAGGAATAGAATAGAATAGAATAGATAGAATAGAATAGAAAATAGAATAGAATAGAGAATAGAATAGAATAGAATAGAATAGAATAGAATAGAATAGAATAGAATAGAATAGAGAACAGAACAGAACAGAATAGAACAGAGCCAAGCCGGAAGGGACCGTGAAGGTCTTCTAGTCCAACCTGCTCGGGCAGGAAACCCTATACCATTTCAGACAAACGGTTGGAGACTTCAGCTCCCAGAGTTCCTAGCCAACCTGAGCTCCGGAACCCTTGGCTAACAAATCTGGTAGGGGGAAGGGCAAGAAATAACGGGAATCTGATCTACCTTTTGGAATGAAGCAGCTTAAAGCAAAGCCATCTAGCAACGTGATTTGGCCTCGGAGCAAAAGGCGCCCTGGATCTCTGGCAAGCAGAGCGAGCGAGCAGGAAGAATGTTGTTGAAACCGTTTGGATCTTTGGATCTCTGTCCAGACGTGCTTTGGCATTTAACTGGGCTCCTTCTCTTTCCTTGCTGTACCCCTTTTTTAAAAGGGTGTGGAGAAGGGATTTCCTGGGGAAAAAAGCGCCCCGAATAACACAGAATAACAGAGTTGGAAAGGACCCTGGAGGTCTTCTAGTCTAACCCATCTCTCTGGCCAGAGGAGGAGTGAGTGGGATGGGGTCTCCGGACAGCTGACCCCGGATCCCTGCCTTCAGCCCCAACCTCAGCCTCCACTTTGGGGGAGTCTCCTTCCCTCCCAAGCGCCACATGTGGAAGTACTTTTTAGAACATGTGTATTCCGGTATCAGAGTTGCATCACTTGCTGTGGGTTTTTTTTGGGGGGGGGGCAAAATCTGGGACGGGGAATCTTGGACAGGATGCTGAGACACCTTTCCTGTTAGTCTTCGGCAGAAGGAAAGGTCTCTCTTAGTTACTTTTATTCTGCTCTGGCAGCCACCTTCAGTTTGCTGTTGGTGTTGGGAGCCTTTTAATTCCATTTAGAGTTCATCTCACACACACACACACACACACACACACACACACATACACCATTCCATTCCAGTGTTTATCCTGGCCAGCCCTTGGATTCCCCCTCTTCAAGTTCCCCAAACTGGAGCTTCTTTACTTTCACCCCTGCTAGTAAGCACAGTCTTCCCTAATGTAGGCTATTCCAGAAGATTGACGGGATCTGTAGCCCTGATCCCGAGGCAGCATTGGGCGTGTTGTGATCCAGCACTGGCCAAATGGCTGAAGAAGGTGGCTGGAGAGGGGAAGCCTTCGAATTGTGAAAATTCAGGCTTGGGCTTCCCGCTGATGTGCAGAAATCCCGAGGATATCTTTGGAGAAAGAAGGGAGGTGGGTTGGCCTTTGGGGAGGAAGAGGGTGGGACAGCTTTTCCCAGGTTTGCCGGAAAGAAGGAAGCAGCAGCTCTTGGGGGGGGAAGGACAATAAAACACGGAGTTTGTGCACTTGCTCTGTTTTTTTTTTTTTTTTCTGCTCAATGGATCGAAGGAGGCCCAAAATAACTTGTTGGGAAGCCGCAAAGAGGCTTTTTGGCCAAGGAACATTGGCCTACAATAAGCTTGGACCATCACACCGCGTGGTTTGGGAAGGAGCCATGCCAGGCCTTGGAGGCTATTCAACCTCTTTGCCTGGCAGGTTTTGGCTGATTGTCTCCATTTTTGCAGTGGCCCTTGTGATGTTTTTCTGGCCTGGCTGATGTCCTGCCTTGCGTTGTGTAGGCATTATGCCGACGGGGTTGGTGTAACCATTTGGGGGGGGCTGTCTGGAGATGCCAAGCCTGCTCTGAGTCCTGATCCCAAAGCAGCTTGCCACTAAGCCCTTTAATCTTCCTGAAAAAAAGAAATCCCAGCACAGGCTGCTTTGTATGATATGACAGTTGTCCTTTAACTGAAGCACAGCCGGTTCCTGGAAATCCACCACCTGCTTGTTAAAATGCCAAAAGATTGCAGAGGATGGGATTTGCGGAATTCATTCACCTTCTTGAAAATTAGCTTTTTAACAAGCAAACTTGTTAAAAAAAAAATTGGCATTGAGCTTCCACGGATATAGAGCATAGAACATAAAATGTCACAATTGAAAGGGACCTTGCAGGTCATTTAGTTCAACCCTCTATTCAATCAGGAGACCCTAGATCATTTCAGACAAATGGTTGTCCAATCTCTTCTTGAAAACCTTCAGTGTTGGAGCACCCACAACTTCTGGAGGCAGGTGATTCCACGGATTAATTGTTCTCACTGTCAGGAAGTTTCTCCTTAGTTCTAGGTTGCTTCTCTCCTTGATGGGTTTCCACCCGTTGCTTCTTGTCCTACCTTCAGGCGCTTTGGAGAATAGCTTGACTCCCTTTTCTTTGGGGCAGCCCCTGAGATATTGGAAGACTGCTTATCATGTCCCCCCTCGTCCTTCACCCAAATCCTGCAACCATTCATCATATGTTTTGCTCTCTGTGCCATCTGGTTTTGGGTCTAAGAAAAATGTTTAGATGTTTAGAGTTGGAAGGACCTTGGAGGTCTTGTAGTCTGACCCCTGCTTGATCAGGAGAGCCTATACCATTGCAGACAAATGGCTTTCCCTTCTCTACTTGAGAACCTCCCCAAAAATGTTGTGCTAAGCCATCCAGAACAGTGGCAATTTTATGTCCGTCCACAGCATCCTTAGAGGCACCTTCTGCCCTGCTAGGAGGGTGGGAGCGAGCATCCCTCCACCCATTTTGACTTAGCTATCGACAAAATGAGCAAGGGGGGGGGGTGGACTGGAAGACCCCCAAGGTCCCTTCCCACTCTGTTATTCCATGCTATTCTAAAATGCCTGGCTGTGTCCGGATGTCCCACCCGGAAGGCTGAGCGGCCAGTCCAGCCTCACCGTGGCCGCCCTGTCTTTTCAGATGGAAGCTGAGTTGCCGAGGCAGCCCAAGGCAGGCCTGCTGACTAGGACGGAGAAGGGGAAGGCGCAGGAAGAGCAGAAGACAGACCGACTGAGCGCCGAAGCGCTGAGCAAAATCGAGGAGGAAGACGTCTTGGATAAGATGGTACCTACCCTATTTCCGTGAAAATTAAGACCCAAGCGGAAAATAAGTCCTAGTGTGATTTTGTCAGGACGCTCTTAACATCAACCCTCCCTCTCCAAAATAAGCCCCACTTAAGATCATCAGCCAGACGGACACCTTTAGTACCGTATTTCCCCGTCTTATTTGCATCTTTTGGAGCAAAAATTAATAGAAGACCCGCTCTTTATTTTCGGGGAAATTCAATAGCAGCTACCTAGCTTGCATTCCCTCCTGTGTAAATATGTGCCCCCCCCCAGTTTGGTTAGGCCTCTCATCCCCAGTTCTGTCTCCGCAGCTGGACCAGACAAGAGACTTTGAGGAGCGACGGCTGATCCGGGCAGCCATGCGGGATCTGCGCCAGCGGAAGCGAGGTAACGTTGAACGGGTCACTAAATGAACGGTTGTAAGCCGAGGACTCTACCTGTATTGGATTTATATTCCTAAATACGGGCAGTCCTTGCTCAATAGCTGGTCAAGGTTATGACAGACACACTCATGACCCATTTCATCAGGACTTCTGGGCCCTTCTCACCTTTGTTTGCCTCTGCCCCCCCCCCCCGGAGATAAAAGGAACCTCACCCCCCATTCCTCCCCCATCTTGACACCAAGGAGGCCATGAAATCAGGCTGCCCAACACTCTTTGGAGTAAAGGGGGGGGAACAACAGCTTTCCAATGCCAAATGAGTTCTGCTTGCTGAATAATTCCCCCCCCCCCTTTGCAGACCAGCGGGAAAAGGAGCGGAACCAGCGGCTGCAGGAGTCCAAGGTGAAGGGGGGCTCTCACACCACCGAGACCACCTCCCAGCAGAGCAGCACGTCGGCGGACGGCTCGGCAGTCAGCACGGTCACCAAGACCCAGCGCCTCGTGCAGTCCAGTAAGGGGGGCTTTTTTGCTCCGAAGGGCTTCTTTCCTGGGGGGGGAAAAGGTGGTCATGCAAATATTGGGCTGCTTCTGATTAGGGGCTTATGGAAGCCCCCTCCCCTTCCGCTCTTGGAATGCTCTTTCCCCTTGGGTGTGGTGGCTGCTTCCTGCTCTCTTCCCGGCCATCCTTCTGGGCTGTCCTGGGCCATCTACAGAGGGGAGCTTGACCCCCAAAGCACTGGTCCAAAAGCAGGCTGGAAGTTTGGTCCTTGCCTCTTCGCCTGCATCCTGTCGGCAGGGAACCTGGAGAGGTTTTCAAAAGTAGCCCCTGGCCACAATCTGGAAAACAGGACAAGTGTTGGGCAGTTGAGTTAAGGCAGGCCAGACAGGGTGGGGGCTTTCAGCTGAAGCCTCCTCCAGCCATTCCTTCCTTTTGACTCTCCATCCCAGCGGTGGCGTCAAAGTGCCAGCATTTAAGGTTTTGAGTTGAGAAATAAGAGATTCGTAATCACGCAGGCAAATTTTTCTCGCGAACCTGAATGCAGGAATTTCAGCCTAGCACAGAACCTTCCTGCCCAATTGTACAATTTCTTGGTGCTTCGGACTTTAAATGCCCCGTAGTAACCCTGGCCAGCATAACTAGCACTGTCTCCTCTCCCTACCTGATTTTTCTGTTCCAGATGATGGCAGCAAAGCATCCCGCACAATCACAATGGAGGCAAGCTACACGAAGAGGTCAGGAAGTAAGTTTCCCTGTTCTCTCTCTCTCTTTTTTCTCTTTTGAGAGAGGCTCAGCCTGTTAGAGCAACCTTTCTCAAAGTTGGCCAATCTAAGAGGGGTGGAGGTCAACTCCCAGAATTCCCTAGCCAGAGTGGTTTAGGAGGGATGGACATCAACTGCCATGCTGGCTGGGGAATTCTGGGAGTTGACTTCCACCCCTCTTAAAAGTCACCAGGGTTGAGAAACACCAGCCTAGACAATCAATCTTCCTTGGAATTGAAGGCAGCTTGATTGAGGTCATGTCCTTTTCCTTCTCTTTCTCTCTTCCTGCGTGTTTCCAGAAGATGGCAACACCTTTGTGCAGACCAAGTCCTACAGCTCGTCATCTTCCAAGAAAGTGGGCAGGTAAGACACACACACACACACACACCCTCGGGTCTTTTTAAGTCTTGCACGGCTGCCGTTCTGGGGTGCAATAAAATTTCATTTTTAATGTGTGGCAGTGTGCTCATGTAAAAAATGATAATAAAGCTTATCATCTTATCTATCATATCTTACGTCTTATCCGATCATCTTATCTTCTGATCTCATCTGTCTTATTATCTTGTCTGATCTTGTCTCTTATCTATCCACTCTTTTATCTTATTTTGCCTTGCTTCTCTTCTCTTCTCTTCTCTTCTCTTCTCTTCTCTTCTCTTCTCTTCTCTTCTCTTCTCTTCTCTTCTCTTCTCTTATCATCTTTCATCTTATTTTATCCTGAGGAGATGGAGCGTCCAGGCCAGGGCTGGGTTATCCCCCCCCCCCCGTCCGCCCCACCCAAAGGGATCTAAAACAGTCCAGGGACAAAAAGGGGCTAGTAACTTACATTTGCTTGGTAAAACAGAGCAAGACCTGGGGCTGAGCTGGGCTGTCCGTTCATGTGTGTCTTTTTTCGGTGTTATTTATATCTTGCTTTTCATAAGACACTCCAAGCAGCTGACGTCAACATGCGAAGAAGGAACCAGGCTAAAAATACATTTGAATCAAAACAAAACACAAAAGCAAAAAGGGCATCCTTAACCATCATCCACCCTCCAGTTCACACAGCCAAGCATATGCAAGCAGCTCTCAGCCCCCATCACCAAAAGACAGATCTTGAATTCTCCAAATTCTGCTTCCGAGATGCTTTTCACTTTTTCTTCTCTCCCCCCCCCCCCCAAAAAAAACCCCTGGGATGATTTGCCTTCCAAACCTTGCACAGATCCCTTGGGGGGGGGAAGGGGGGAAGCAGAGAAAATTGATTCTTATTTAATTGAATTAATAGCTAACCCACAGAGCAGTTTTGCCCTGGAGTGTTCCATCTTTCTCCCTCTTTCTTCCCTCCCCCTCTTGGCACAGCATCTTTGAGCGGGAGGATCCGAGCCCCAGGTCCGGGAGCAGTCTAGCTGACTTGGAGCGGCGCCAAGCGGAGAGGAAGAAGGAGATCATGAAGGCCCAGGCCATGCCCAAGATGTCAGCCTCGCAGGCGCGCAAGGCCATGATCGAGAAGCTGGAGAAGGAGGGCGGGAGGTGAGGGGCTGGACTCGAAGGAGAGTTGGGAGGGGGGATATCAAAGTTTTTTAAGGCTGGAGATTGGAATGTTTTCCTTCCCCAAGGACTTCTGCTCCCATCCCCACAAGTGGCTGGAGAACTTGGCTTGGCTCCTTCAACTGACATCTTAGAGGCTTCCTGGAGGACCCACTTCCTCCGGGCTGCAAAACTCTATTTCTAAGGGCCTTTCCGTGTCCAGGTTCCCACCACGAGAAGCTGCCCGAGGGAGGCCTTCTCCTGCCCAGGCTGTGGCCATTTTAATCCAGCTGGTGCTTGTTTTTGTTCTAAATATAGCAGCTTGCTCGGCCTCCTGGCTTTTTCCTTTTCCTTTCCTTTTCCTTCCTTCCTTCCTTCCTTCCTTCCTTCCCAGAGCAGCCACGGGACATGTGTTTTCCTTTCTCTGCAGCCCCGCCAGCCCGGCCTTGGCCCGGGTGGGAGTCCAGCGCTCTTCCAGCTTCGGGGTCCCCAATGCCAACACCATCAAGCAGATGCTTCTGGACTGGTGCCGCGCCAAGACCCGGGGCTACGAGGTGAGCGCCTGCCCGTCTCCCGCGCCTCCCTGGCCCCGCTGCACCTGGCCCGTCTCTTTCCTGACGGTCCTCATTTCTCTCCGCCCTCCGTAGCACGTGGACATCCAGAACTTCTCCTCCAGCTGGAGCGACGGGATGGCCTTCTGCGCGCTCGTCCACAACTTTTTCCCCGAGGCCTTTGATTACACGCAGCTCTCGCCCCAGGACCGGCGGCATAACTTTGAGAAGGCCTTCTCCGCAGCCGAGTAGGTATCCCCGGGCCTGCTCCGTTCGGCTTTGCTGCAGCCCCTGAGCTAGTGGTGGCAGAGAGTTCCCCAGGAGATTCTCCCCAGAGCTACGAGGTTGCTTCATCTTCTAGATGTCTATGGAGATTCTCGGTCACGGTTGTCCCAAAGGTGCTTTTTTTTCAGGAGCCCAAAACTAACGTTACTAAGCAAGACACCTGTTAAGTGAGCTTTGCCCCATTCTATGACTTTTCTTGCCCTAGTCGTTAAGTGAGTCCCTGCTATCGTTAAGTTAGTGACCCGGTTGCTAAGTGAATCCGGCTTCCCCTTTGAATTTGCTCGTCAGAAGATGGCAAAAGGGGATCACGTGACCCGGGACATTGCAACTGCCGTAAGTACAAGCCAGTTGCCGAGCGTCTGAATTTTGATCACATGACCCTGGGGGTGCTGCAACGGTCGTAAGTGTGAAAGGTGGCCAGGAGTCGTTTTTTTTCTTAAGTGCCGTTGTAACTTTGAACAGTCACTATAAACGAACTGTGGTAACTCGAGGGCTACCCGTATACCACTGCAACCATAAGGACTAGAAACTTAACCTGTTCAGAAATGGAACCCTGCAAGCCGGCGTACCCAGGACGCTGGATCGTTGTGGTCTCCCTGCCCTCCCGCAGTGGTGGCTCCTGCTGCCAGGAGCCCTCAAGGATGGATAGGGTGCAACCCCGAGCATTTTGCCATGGGCCTCCTTTTCTCTGACTTGGGATTCCTGAAACCTCTTTCCTTGGGACGTCTGTGGAAGTTCCTTCCCTGGGAACGAGACGGGGGGGGGGCTCGGGATGCATTCAAATGGGGGGGGGTGCGCATTGCTGCCTGGAGCTGAGCATGGGAAGGGGGCTGCGGGAGGGCCTCGTTGGCCAAAAGCGATAAGCAGCTGCAACCTCTGTCTGAGATTGGCATCACAGGCTGGGCTCCCCTTGCAGCTTGGGGTGGGATGTGACGGGGGTCCTCTCGAACCTGTTTGACCTACGGAGCGGCTGGCACGGCTTCTTCGGCTTTGCCTTTCCGGGGAATTTTGCTCCGGCAGAGAAAGGCACCCCTTCCTTCTTTTTTTTCCTTTCCCTTTGCTGTTTTTCTGTCCGTCCCTTCCAGTGCTTCGTCCCTTTCAGCTCGGGCCTCCCCAGGCCTTCCTCATCCTTCCCTCACGCAGCGGTGGGTCCAGCCATCTTGCGAAAAAAGCGGGGCGGGCAGAACGGGCCTGGCACCGGTCTGAACAGGGGGAACAGATCTGCTCGGCTGCCCTTGACCAATATCTGTGCTGCCCCAGGCCCTTGGATGGGCCTGTGTGAGTGTGTTTAGGGGTCCCGACTCCCCTCTCCCCGGATCTTCCCTTCTGCTACCTGCGGCTTCCGATCCAGCAAGGGAAATCAGGCGTGGGGGATCGGCTGTTCTGCCTCCAGACTGCAGAATGGGGCATTGTCCACCCTTCTCCTCCACCGAGGGTCTAGGCCAGGGGTGGGCAACCTTGGCTCTTTTATGACTCATGGACTTCAACTCCCAGAATTCCTGAGCCAGCATAGCTGGCTCAGGAATTCTGGGAGTTGAAGTCCATGAGTCATAAAAAGTCCACGAGTCATAAAAGCCAAGGTTGTCTACCCCTGGTCTAGGCAGTGGACCACGGCCCAAACTCAGATGTCTCCTCTGCAGCTTCTGCCTTGTTTCCCTCCCCCCTCCTCCAAATTCTTTCTCACTTTCCTTGGCTTCTCGCACCCCAGACGGGCTGAGGCCCACTTCCAAGGGTGTGTGGCGGGATGGGGCGCACAGAGCGAGTTGCTCATCCCTTCTCTATACGTCGCCATATAGAGGGAGCGCAACGAGCACCCCGCTCGCTTTCCTGTCCTGTCCACCTCTCTGTCTTTTTTGTCTGTCTGTCCCGGCCGTTCAGTCTGGGTTTTTGCCGCACCCTCTGCATCTCACTCAGGAATGAGCCCCCCACCCCACCCCCTGTATCCGTTGGCACCCCGATATCTCCTACTCCGTTTGCATGGCATGGTGGAGAGGTCCGTGCCCGCTCACCCCGTTGCATGCATATGTGGGTCTCGTCACCGAGAATGTGAACTGGATTTACGTATCTTGTGTTTTTTCTCTCTCTCTTTCTTTTCCTCCAATTTCTTTCTATTTACTCTCTTCCCCCACCCCACCCCAAATTTGTCTGGGCTGTGATCACTGGCTTCCTCTTCCCCCTCCCCCTGCCCTTCCCTCCACCACGATCCCTCCTCCCCCCACCCCCAGGACACTGGCAGAATGCCCGCAGTTGCTGGACGTGGAAGACATGGTCCGGATGAGAGAGCCGGATTGGAAGTGCGTTTACACGTACATCCAGGAGTTCTATCGCTGCCTAGTTCAGAAGGGGCTGGTCAAGACGAAAAAGTCTTAACTTTCCTTTCTGCGGCGCTACGGTGAGAACTTTTCCTTCTTTCCTGGGATTGATTGTCCTTTTTTTTGAGGGGGGAGGGGTGTTTAGGGGCTGGGGCTGCAGGGCTCCCCCACAGATGCAAGGCGAGAGATGCACCTCCCCACTCCGTGGGTGCCCTCAGCTGGTAGGTTACGAGTGTTTGCGACAGATGCAGGAGTTCCCAACGTTTAAGGTGGTTTAGCCTGGAAATCGGGAGGGGGGTGCTTCCTCAAAGACCCTCCCCAGGCAATGAAAGGCCCTGACCTTCCAGGCCCTGGGGCAAAGGCAGAAGCCAGACAGGTGGTGGAGGGTCTCTCCTCCTCCCCTGCCTTGCCCAGACCTTATAAGTCTTGGAAGAGCTGGAAAAAATGACTCAGGCCGTTCTTGTTAATAGCATCTCCTCGGCTCTCCTGGGAGGCTGGAAGCCGCACACACTGAGCGAGCTAAACAATGGCTTTATAAGGGCATCCTGGCTTGCTTGGAGCTGCCCAGGCCTTTCTCCACTGCCTCCGGGAGTGGGGGGGGGCTGCCCATCAACTCTTCTCTCGGCCTCCCCACTCAGCTGCCCTGTGTGTAACTGAGTTGGGGCCTGGAGTGGCCCTTCGGCCCTAGTGGGGTGGGGGTTTCAGGCTGATCAGCCCTTGGCTGGGAGACCACCAGGAGATGTGAGGGCTGCCAGCTAGAGTGGGAAGTAGAAAAGGCCCCTTTGGAAGAAGGCCACGGGGATTCCCTTCTTGGACTGGACGCTTGCGGAAAAACCACGTCAGGGTCTCAGAACAGGGTCCTCATCCTTTCCAGCTGGGTGGCCTGATGCCCGCAGGAGGGGAGTGAGTGGCAGGCACATGTGTGACCTCCACTCACGAGTGGAGCTTCACGTACACGAAGTATGAGTAGCCCTCGTTTATGGCCACTATTGGGACTGTCGATTCTGTTACTAAGCACACATGGTCAGTAAAAGGAAAACCACAGGGCCATGATGGGCTTACTTCTCCTAGGCCATTAAGTGAGTCACTGCAGGTTGTTAAGCAAGACGCCAGGGGACCGTGACTTGCGATTTCTGCACTGGCTCCCCCATTGACTCTATCGGAAGCTGGCTGTGACGTGTGCAAATGACAATCACGGGACTGCTACGGTCATAAGTGTGAGGACTGGTTGCAGAGCTTGGGGGCAGAGGTGTTTTGCAGCATGGTAACTTTAAATGGCCACTAAACAAGGCCATTGCTAAGTGAGAACTACCTGTAATTGTTTGGTGTGCACCAACCTGGCGCCCTCTGAGCAGCAGAACTGTAGATCCCGGAGTTTTCATCTTCTGGCTGGGGATTATGGATTTGATTCCACTGGTCCTTTGCTTTGCCTTTGGCCCTTGGCTGTTTCCCCCCCCCCCCCGAAGGCTAATCTTAAGGAGCCCGACGGCTTTAAAACTGTGATGTTAGTTCACTTGCCAGCCAGTCTCACTGAGGACTAGACGTCTGACTGTTTGTAAGTGGTGTTTTGCTCCAGTGAAGGATGCAGGGATGGTGAGCTCTTTGTCAGAGTGCCTGGGCCCTACTCTGCAGGTGAAAAGTTGACATCCGTGCTGAATCGAATAGTTTTGTCACGTCTGTTGAAATCCTCCTAAACTAAGTGCGTTCAACGGTCTAAAAAAAGCCGGTCATGAGGAGTGGGCAGCGGATTAGAATGGATGGAGGAAGGTTAATTGAGGGAGGGGAGTCTAGTTTGGATGTACACACCCCGGCAAGGGCATGGCTCCTTCGCCCAGCGCCATCGGCAGGGCTGAGGGCAAGCTGGATCCTGGAGATCCTTGTCCCAGTCCCAGCTTAGGAAAAGGGGATGTTGAGCCGTTCCTTCCGGGCGAATTGAACCCGTGTCCCTTGGCTTTTGCAGGAGGCTGGTGGACTGCGTCCCGCTGGTGGACGTGGAGGATATGATGATCATGGGGAAACGCCCGGATGCCAAATGTGTTTTCACCTACGTCCAGTCCCTCTACAACCACCTGCGACGTCACGAGCTTCAGCGACGGCAGTCACACCTGTAGCCGCCTCCTCTTCCGACAGACCCCCACCCCCAAAAGGCCGGGTGGGTAAGCTGGGGGGGGCAGCTTCCCCCACGCTCCCCACCTCCTCTCTTGCCTGCAGAGATCAGGCGAGGCCGCTCAGCCCGGAAAAGGGACCGGGAGCCTTGGCTGCCGCTCTGCACCACACATGCTTTTCTACCAAGGTGGTTTTGATTGTTGCTTGTAAGTTATTGTATTGGGGTGTTGTTGTTTTTTTTGACGGCAGCAGCTTTTCTCCTCTCCCCCTCATCCCTAGAGACCCCCTCCCCCACTGAAGGAAAGCCAAGTCGGGGTCCACAAGTGTAGAACCCCCGTGTGGAGACAGTGGCCTTTTCCATCCACCAGCAAAGCCCAAACTTCTGATCGATAGCTGTGTGTTTCACTTTTTGCACGCCTTTTGACACAGAGAAAGCTCGCCTCTGGCTGTGAAGGAGTGGGGCGTGGGAAGCAAGGAGAGGAGGCTATGCTCCTGACCCCACCCATCCCAAATTAGCTTGCCTCGGTCTTCAGGGAGGCAGCCTTTTGCGCTTGTGTGCCGCGATCGTGGAATCGTGGACTTTCCTTGGTTCACAAAGAAAACGCTAAAAGGAGTGCTTTTTTCCAAAACCCAGCCCTGCCATGTGAAGGGGGGGCACTGTGCCAGCTCCGAGGGGCTCTTTCCATGCCGCTTGGCTCCATCAGCCTCTTGCCAGTGGGCTGCTGAGGGGTGGCATCTGCCTGCCTCCCGTGACCAAGGAGAACCCAGATGGGGAGTTTTATTCCTGCGGGTTCCCACCAGGATGCTGTTCCTCTGGTATCCACCACGAGCTGACTTGCCCACTTACTTGAGGGACTCCTACGTGGGGCAGGCCAGTCCTTAGGGCTGCGTGAGGTGCAAGCAGGACTGTAGTTTGTGTGCCTGTGCACAGCTGGCCTCTCTCCGGGATTGTAATCCTTGCACCACCCACAAGATTGTATCAGCACCAGCAAGACAATAAAACGTTTGGATTGTGGTCCCTGCCTCGTCCCTGCCTTCGCCACGCGGACACCCTATAACACTAATGCCCCCAATAACATCCGTTAGGTGAATTAACTTTTAGCAGGATTTAAACTTCTTTTTATCTAACCGTGGATGGCTCATTAGCTTTTTTTCTCTTTCCAAACGGCAAGGCTTTTCATTTTAAATTTGACACAAGAATACAAAACCTCACACTTGCTCTACAAATCCCTCAGCAACAGGCTATGCCGTACCAACCAAACCAGTCTCCATTCGTTCAAGACTTCGGTTTTAAGATTGGCACCCCCTGGCAGATCTAGCATCTAGCCAGCTGCCTTGATTTTTGTGGGAGAAAAAAACGGGAAGTCCAAAGGTGCGCTTGTGATCAAGCAGTAAAGTTTGGCAAGAAAGTGTTAGCAGTGGAAAGTCTGCACAAAACAAGAGGCGCATTCTGCTGATTGACGAAGGCAACTTTATTGTTACTATTCTAAACCAGTTGGGGTTTGGCAACCTGCTCCCCAGCAGGCTGGGCTCCCAGCCCGAGAGGACGTGTCTATCCACCCTCAGCAGCAAAAGCTTTCTGCAGAGGGCTTCATCCTGTCCTGCACAGGTGAGGCACACCTGGAGGGAAAGTGCTGGTCACGGGAGTGGACCCTTGTGTGGTGTCTTGTGCAAGGATGCCGGTCTTGGGATGAAGGGCGGAATCCCTTGAGGCTTCTTCCACTCAATTTTGTCGGAGTTACAGGCAGCCCTTCACTTAAGACCATTTGACAAGGGCTGTTGTGATTGTTGGTTGTTGGCTTGCCCTTCACCACAGTCGGTGTCCTGCAAGTCACACAGTCGCCATTTGCAACCTTTCCCAACCGGCTTCCGACAAGCACAAAGCAAGTGGCGAAGCAGGCGGGGAAAGTCACAATCACAGCCATGTAGGTGTCTTGCTTGACAACTGCACATGCTTAACAACGTTTCTTCCAGTCTCGATTGTGGTCGTAAGTCAAGGGCTGTTTGTAACTGGCCTGGGATTGCATATATGTGGCTGTTTTTGTTTTGCACATTTTCCTTCGGAGGGCAGCAAGTTCTTCCCCTTAAGCAAAAGTTTGCGGCCTTTGAATCTTCTCTAAATGTTAATTTCTCCAGCAGCACAATTCAGCCGTGTGTGAACCACAGGAGATCTTATCTATATAGTTGCAGATTATTTGGATATTGCCAATGCCCTGAGACTTCCCATTCTTTCTAACAGGCATCCTTCACAAGCAGAGCACGTTGAGTTCTATAGGTCTGGACCCCCCGCCCCCTTTTTCTCTTTCGCACGTCTGTTCTTCATTGCTTCCACATCTGATGGCAATGAATTAGCAGGCGCCATTTGGAAAGCCTCGGGAACAGGGGAGTCCGGCGTGTCTTTCCGGTAGAATCCCAATTCTTGCATCAGCTGGTTTATCTCTTCCCGGCTCATGTCACTCAATGGGATTCTCTGCAAATTAAAGGCAAATCACAGGGACTAGCACCCTCTGGTCACAACCACAGTGAGACAGCTGGGTTGTGTCTAGACAATGCTCAAATGAGCGGCATCTTATCCAAATTGGCATAATAGGGCAATGCTCCTATTATCTATTCCCAGCATACTTTAAGGCTGTGGCATCTTGGCATTTCAAGTTTCTCTTGCGGGCATCTTCACAAAATGGCCTCCCAGTCTTAAAAGATGAACTGGCCCACCAGAATGCCTCCTCCTATCCCAGCACAGTACTGCATTTGCTATAATGCACTTTAGTGGAGGCTAAAACATACAAAGAACAGTTGCAGGAATTGTGTCTGTCTAGTTTAATGAAAAGAAGGATTAGGGGAGACATAATAGCAGAGTTTCAATATCTGAGGGGCTGCCCCAAAAAAGAGGGAGTCAAGCTATTCTCCAAAGCACCAGAAGACAGGACAAGAAGCAATGGATGGAAACTAATCAAGGAAAGAAGCAACCTGGAACTCAGGAGGAATTGCCCTTGTAACAATAACATTAAAACTGAAAAACATAGCATTTGTCTCACAAAATAGGGACTCTCCTCTCTAGATAAATTTTGTAAGTAGCTACACAAGAAGATGCACGAGTTTGTTTGGCCAACCCACTCCAATCTTGAAACTCATTTTCTTTTCCAACTTTGCAAACCGTTAACAGCTTGCAAGAAACAATGGAGGGAAACTAATCAAGGAGAGAAGCAACCTGGAATTAAGGAGATACTTCCTAACAGAACAACTAACTAGTGGAACAACTTGCCTTCAGGAGTTGTGGGTGCTTCATCACTGGAGATTTTTAAGAAAAGAATGGACAGCTACCTGTCTGAAATGGCATAGGGTCTCCTGCTTGAGTAGGGGGTTGGACTAGAAGACCTCCAAGGCCCCTTCCAGCTCTATTCCGATTGATTTTTTTAAAAATCTCTTTTTCTTTGTTTTATCTTGTGAGGGGGCAATTTTCACCAGGTCAAAACTGAGTTTGGGAAAGCACTGGCAAGCCCACTCCTGATCTGGGACCGATATCTTAATATACTGGAGAATTAGTGGAGATTAAATCGGGGTCCTGGGTGCACTCCGCGCTCGCCTGGAGTTGATACAGCGGATGGCAAGCTAAACCTTTGACTGTTAGCAAAGCCTCATGACCGAAGGGCCTGATCACAGAATAAGAACAAACATTATAAAATAATTCCCTCTCACCTGAAGTTCTTCAAATTGAATGTTGAGCAGGATGAGCTCAGGGTCCGCTCCAGCCAGGTACTTCAAGTCCATGTTGTGGCTAAGGGGGAGCGTTAAGGAGACGTATCTGCTGCTGGAAGAGGACACCGTCTTCCCTCTATCTGCGCTGCTCTCGGCACTAACTCGGGGAGGGGTCTGGGTGAAGCCCCCCGCCCAGCGGACCTGGGCAACTCGCCGTGGGACAAAACAGCCAACTCGCTGCGGGACAAGAGTTACGCCAATATCAAAGAAACAGTGGAATAGAATCATTGCAGAAAGGATGCCAAAGGAGGGACAGGAGGAAGTGTGGACGGCAAAAACCAAAACTATCTTTTATTTATTTTAAATCATTAAATGAAATTCCAACAGCGAGTTGTCCCATGGCAACTTGTCCCGTTCCATGTAGGGAGAGATTCTGGGTTGGGAAGGGTAGCAAGTCCAGGTAGCAGACGAACCCCAGAGAAGGTGAGCCCGGATAAAAACTCAGCAAAGGATACTACAAAGGCAGGTCTTCGTCGAGAAAGGCCTTTACCTGGAAAAAAAAGGAAGAATCAGCCATTAGGGGGCGGGCTGGTGGCTGGTGTTTCCTGCATGAGCAGGAGGTTGGACTAGAAGACCTCCAAGGTCCCTTCCAACTTGGTATGGAACAAAGCTGGCTCTCCCCCTGAGGTTTTCCAGTGAGGAAGCAGATGGTCCAGGGGAAAAAGAGCAAATCCAAAGAGTTGCTTACCTCTGGCAGACGGTTCAAGCGTCATCCTCCACAGCTCTGGGGGGAAAGAGGAGAGCACCATCAAAAGCGTGTTTCTAAGCAATGCCAGAGGGACAGCCCAGTTCAACTGGTTGGATTAGTTTTTGTGCTGCGAACACAGGGCCCCCACCGAAGCGAAGGGATTAGGTTGCCTAGACTGCTTTAGGAAAATTTTAAAGAGCACATTTGTTGCTCTTTGAATAACCGAGCTCCCCAGCAACACATACCCACACACCTCCCGTCTAATTCATTCCCAGCTCCCATGGCCAACACACTTTGCACCCTCACAATTTACACCCTTTTATAATTCACTGTTGCCAAGGCCTGCTTCTTTCTTTCTTTTTTTCTTGAAACAGCCTGTTCCCCACGCTGTGGGCTCCATTTTCCATCATGACTAACAGCCAGCCTATTAACAGATGCAATTAGTGGGAAGACAGCAACCAGAAGAAGAAACATTTCCTTCTAAAGTTCCCAATTGAGATACCTGCACTTAGTGTTGTAGCCAGAGGGCATAAAAATCCATGAATGGCGAGTTGATCTCTCCATCTGGCGCCTTCACTGCCTCTGTGGGTTTCCCACTGTCTGCCCCATTTCATGGGGGGAACCAACCCTTTTGAGAGACACTTTCTACCATCTGGGCAGGTTTGGATGATACACTAAGGCTGCTAAAACGTGATTTGTTCTTTTATGGCTAGAATGTCATGGAAAGTAAGATAACTGGGCTTTATTCCATCGTGCCTAGCAAACCACAGCTTTGCATGTGAGAATCCAGCTTTTGCAGGATACAGACTGCAAGAGAAAACCTTAACCCAGGGGTCCCCAATTCTCCCCTCCCCCGGTCTGTGTACCCACACCAGTCCGCAGCATGTCAGAAAACCAGGCCATGCAAACAAGCAAAAGCCCCATCTGAGGGATGCAGGCAGAATTCGAAACCAGCCCTCCCCCCCTGCCTCCGGTCCGTGGAAAGACCTCTGTCCACAGAACCGGTCCCTGGTGCCCAAAATGTTGGGGGCCACTGCCTTAACCCACAGCAAACTTTGCAATTGTTACCCAGATCGAAGCAATCCAAGCGACAAGATCAACAACTGCTTCAATAACAACAGCAAAGTAATTGCGGCCATTTTCAGAAGCCTCTTGAGGAAATTATGCAATTTGCACATAATTGATTTATTGTGTTTGGCTGAGGCTTCCTGGCTCAGACCAAGAGGAAAAGTTGTCAGCCTCTGAAAGGCAGCCCAGCCTGACTCAGAGATAGCCTGCCCCTAAACAGAGAGGCTCCCTTTGCCAAATCTGCTTCCTCTGGAGCTGGGGGTGGGGGGTGGGCAGAGGGGTTTTCCACCAACAGTTGGAGCAAAGTTTCCCTCCGCCCATTTCCGTTACAACAGCCCTATCTGTGAAATGGGCCACGTCAGCCTAGGTGTTTCTAGGGTGGAAAGGGGACTGGTGGCTGTACCGCAATACAGGCAGCCCTTGACTTACGTCCACAACAGAGCCCCAAAAATTTCTGTTGTTAAGCGAAGTGAGTTTTGCCCCATTTTACGACCTGCCTTGCC